TATGGATTGTGATGAGTTGTATGAGCCCCCAATAAAATGACAAAATGATTTTTTTTTTTTTAAAGAGTGGTTTTCTTGTTTCAAAAAAGGTGAAATGTTGAGTGATGACAAGCCTTGTTCTCAATGTCGGCCAACTTGCTGAACGGATAAAAATGTGCTCCAAGAATAATGACGAACCATTGAAGAGATGGGTCAGTTATTTGGACTCTCTTGGAGCTCAGGGTGCAGTAAATTTTAACGGAATATTTGGGAATGAGGAGAGTTGCTGTGAAGTTTGTGCCTTGGGTTCTTTCTGACTGACCGGTAAATAGAGCATCAACTGGAAACACGCCGTGCTTTGAAAGAACAGCAGCAAAGTGACCCAAACTTTTTTCCAAGGTCATTACTGGTGATGAGACATGGTGCTCTTCTTATGACCCTGAAAGCAAACATCGATCAAGCCAGTGGAAGATGCCATCATCACATCACTCCAAAAAAAGTTTGTCAAGTGAAATCAAAAATCAAGACGACGCTCATTTGTTTTCTTTTTTGATGTGTGGGGGATAGTGCATTTGGAGTTTGTCCCACCAGGTCAGACTGTTAATCAAACTATCTATTTAGAGGTTCTGAAAAGACTGTGTAACTGTGTGTGGCAAAAAAGGCCTGATTTATGGCAGATGGGGGACTGGTTTTGCCACAACACAATGGACCTGCTCAAGCAGCCATCCCAGTACACCAGCTTTTGGCAAAAACCAGCATGCCTCTCTTGCCCCACACACCTTACTCACCTGACCTCACTCCATGTATCTTCTTTTTGTTTCTGCGAATGCAGAAGGACATGAAAGGACAGAGATCTGACAACATAGAAGAAGTAAAGAAAAAAACGAGGGAGGTGCTGTCAGCCATCCAAACAGATGAGTTTGAAAAATGTTTCCAAGAATGGAATCGCAGATTTGACAAATGTATTAAGTGTAATGGAGAGTACTTTAAAGGTGATAAGGTTGGTTTATAAAAAAAAAAATTAAAAACATAGCTTTGAGAAAATGTTTCCGTTGGTGGGAGTACACCCTCATATAGTCCATTATAAAATAAATGTCCAGCCATTATTTCTTACGGAATCAGTGTGGTTTGGTTTGGTTTGTTTTTAATTAGAAGTGTCCCCAACATTTCATTGGGTTGCAGTTAATGAGTGACCAATCATCCTGTGACTCCTAGTGACAGGGAACGCACTACCGTCTAGTAGCCTCCTCTACTGCAATTTTACCATTCTGCCTGTTGACGCAATTTCCTATCTATCCCGCAAATAACTGCTCTTCTCGCCATCTCCTGCTCTTCTCCACCTCCACTCCTGTCAAAAGCACCATCCTCTCTCTAGGAACAATTGGCGCTGCTTCCTCCTCCCATGTCTATCCTACTGAGCAGCCAGCACAGCCTTTGTACAAGAAGATACTATCACTATGGCCCAGCCTTCTGAAAACCTAGCAATATACCCCTTGGCACTCACAAAACCCCCAACCCTCAACATGGCCTTTAGGACCTGATTGACCAGGCCCCAATTTGTTTCCCAACCCCTCATTCACTGACTCTTCTATGTCTTATTTAACATGCTACACCTCCACTGGTTTTCAATTCCTCAGATTATCAACTTCATTCCCTTGGGAAAACCTCTGGCACGCTTTTTCCACTGTGTTTACTACTGGAGATTACCACGTACTAATCAAGGATTGCTGGTGGTGGAGTGGGTTATGAGCTTGGCTGTTAACCACAAGATCAGCAGTTTGGGACCACCAGCTACTCCGTGTATAAAAAAGGAGACTTTCTACTTCCATAAGGATGTATCGGCTGAGAAACCCACAGGGACAGCTCTACCCTGTCCTATAGGGTCGCTAGGAGTTGGAATCGACTCAGTGGCAGTGAGTTCTGACTCACTATGTGGGCTCCAGCTTACGTAGCCCTTCTTCAGAGGGACGGAGCCCAAACCCCACCACTAGGCAATCTCTCACACCGCTTCCTTTAATGTCTTTTATCACAATTACAATAGCATATACTTTATCTTATCATTTAAAATTATAATAAAAAAGTTAACACTTAATAAAGGATTTCTATGTGAGGCCCTAATATGTCAGAAGCATTATTTAATTTAAGTTTCAAAACAAGCTCATGAAATAGTTATTATTCCAACACCCATAACACTGGTGAGGGTATGAAGGCTTCTGAAGTCAGTAAAATATCCAAGGTCACACACACAGTGGATGGGAGAATAGAAATTAGAACCCAGCAGATTCCCGAACCTACTGGTGTTCATACTTCCCACACTGTACTGCTAATGTCTGATTTCCCAGCAGAACGGAAGCTCCACCAGCATGAAGACTGATAACCAGCGAGCCTGTCAGAAGCGAATTAGAGCCTTGCTTGCTCAGGCACACGATGTCAGAACAATGTCTCTGCACCTCTTCCTCTGCTCTTACCCCTCCTTCTCCTCTTTGAGGATTCACACACCACTATAAAGGAGAAGATTAAATGAGCAAATCAGTGGACTTCGCCTTGGCATCTGACATTTTTTTTAAAAGTGCTTTCCAGAAAACCACCAAGACAGAACAGGCACAAATCCTGAAGGAAGGGGCAGTTAACTGCATTGATCTGGACTCATATCAATGGAGAAGGAGGCAGATGGTTTAAAGAGCTTCAGCTCATTTCTCATAAAATTAAAAATGACAATTACTAACATTTCTTATTTACCATTTGTCAAACACAATGCCAAGTGTTTACGTATGTTATTTCATATAGTTATCCCATTGGCTCAGAGGTAGGTCTTATAAAGATCCTCACTTCATAGACTCAAGGAAATAGAAACAGAAGAGGCAAGTTGCTTGTCCAGTTGACCTGAGGCTCTTAACTATGGTTGTTGCTACCATTACCTTTGTGTGTGGAAACTGACGGAACCCAGTTGGCTGTCATGTTGATTAAATGCGTGGCAGCTAATGGAAATGTTGGAGCGGAAGCCACCAGGCACTCTGTGACAGAAACATGGGATAGTCTGTTTCCTTGAAGAGTACAGATTTTGGAAATCCTCTGAGACATTCTACTCTGTCCTTTGGGGGGCTATGAGTTGGAATCCACTGGATGGTGGTGGATTTGGGGACTGGGTGAAGACTTAACACAATAGTACTGTCTGAACAAGGAAAGACTCAAGATAAAATCCTATAAACATATGAAAAGGATCCATTAGTTAAGAGTAGAAATACTACTAATTTCAAACTACTTGCAATTTTATCAGCTACCATGTGTTAGTTTTACAGTTCATGTGAGCATGGACAGTCTGTTCCCATATTGGTGAAGGTTTTTACGTTTGAGGTTTCTGTTATAGTAACAAACAACTTTATATCCTGTCTACTGAATTTAGTTTTATATCTGATGCATTTTACTGGTTGCTACAAAGTCTTCCTCCAAAAGACTTTATTTATTTATTTATTTATCTATTTATTTGTTAATCATTTTATTGGGGGGGGGCTCTTACAAATCTTGTAACAATCCATCATCCAATTGTATCAAGCATACTTGTACATATATTGCCATCACACTTCCAAAACATTTTCTTTCTACTTATAGCCCTTGTTATTAGCTCTTTTATTCCCTTCCCTCTGCCACCCTCCCACCCTTGTGAATCCTTGATCAATTATATATTATTGTTGTTATTTCGTGTCTTACACTGTCCATTGTCTCCCTTCACCCACATTTCTGTTATTCGTCCCCCTGGGGGGGAAGGCTATATATCCTACCATATGATGGGTTCCTCCTTTCTCCCCCACGACCTTCCCCCAACATCCCCCTACCCTCATGACATCGCTACTCCCACTACTGTTCCTGAGGGGTTTATCTGTCCTGAATTCCATGTGTTGAGAGCTCTTATCAATGTGTGTTTGCCTGTCTGGCCGGATTTGTAAGGTAGAATTGGGTCATTGTTGTGGGAGGGAGGAAGCATTCAGGAATTAGAGGAATGATGTGTGTTTCGTCAGTGCTATACTGTACTCTGGTTGAATTCTTCCTTCCTTGCAACACTTCTGTGGGGGGGGTGTCCAATTTGGGTTTCCACTCCAAACCCCCTCTTTCACATTGATATAATTGTTTGTTTTGGACCTTTTGATACCTGATCCTGTGAACACCTCATGATCACACAGGCTGGTGTGCTCATTCCATGTGGGCTTAGTTGCTTCCCTGTTAGATGGCTGCTTGTTTAACTTCAAGCTTTTAAGACCCACAACACTACATCTTTTGATAGCCAGGCACCATCCACTTTCTTCACTACATTTGTTTATGCACCCATTTTGTCTTCAGTGATCGTATCAGAAGGTGCACATCAAAAGAATGCCAGGTTATTGAACAAAGTGTTCTTGTGCCAAACAACGATTTTTAGTGGTTGCATATTTTAAGTGACTAAATGCAAGATGTGCAGTTCAAGACCAGCAGCTTCTATGCAGGAGAAAGATGAAGATTTCTATTCCAGTAAAGAGTTACAGTCTCAGAAACCCACAGGGAAAGTTCTACCCTGTTCTATAGGGTCGCTAAGAGTTAAAATTGTCTCCATGGTGGCAATGGGTTGTTTTTTGGGGTGTTTTGGGGGGGTGAGGTATTGTTTTGGGGAGCCCTGGTGGCACTGTTGGATAAGAGTTGGCCACTAACCACGATTCAAACCCTGCTCCTCTGGAGAAAGATGACACTCTTTGCTTCCATAAAGTTGCTGACTCTCCATCAACTTGATGGCGGTGGCATTGGGATTTTGTTTTGTTTGGGGCAGGAGGTACTGTTTTGCAGTTTTCTTGGGCACTGTATCTATTTGCAAATTATAATTGCAACGTATAAACATTTTTCTAGATTTGGATTATTTATGGGGCCCTTCCTCTTCATGTGCTGCTGACCAATAATACACAGGAAATCTTTGTAGATATGGGGCATTTGGGAGTGGGCCCGGATGAGCACTGTTGTACAGATATATATCACTATTGTAGATGAGCACTAATTACCTGCTGATGGTATCTGTCACTTTTTCTGAGTAGATGCCTTCTTGCACTGGTTCGTACACTGCCTCCACTATCTGCAAAACATACAGATGAGAGTGACAGAAGTAAAGGGATCCTTCATACCTGTACTCCATCATATCTACTGGGCCCCAACATGAGAGTAATTGATTAAGCAGTAAAACTTCAGCCACAAATTTTATTCCAAAACAAAAACATCCTGACCAAATGTAAAACCTAGCATTAATTAAACAGTTCTTGCACACGGATTTGTGTTCTCCAAGCTGAGTAAAAGTTAACCTCAGATTCTTAATAAGTCAAGTGTGAGATGATATAATATAGGGATTGTGGGTAGCCAAAGCGCAATTAAAATTAAAGATCAAAAGTAATTTGATATATCTAGTAATTTTCTATGATAAATGTTAACAATGATAGCAGAAAGTATATAATAGCATATGATATGTACATATATATACACACCATGGTATATATAGCATATACATGATATATATACACATATACTACATAATACATATTGTGATACATACATATATATCATATGTGTGTATATGTATATATATTATCAGAGCGGGAGGGGGAATGCATTAAGTCACGTACAATGGGTGTTTTTCATTGACTTTTTTCTCCAAAGCTCTGTCTAAGCAGAGGAATGGCATTCTTAGCAACAAAGGTCCTTGGGTTCCCCAGGGTTGCTTACTTTAGTGGCCAGAGAGAGCATGTTGGTGCTGTAGAAGGGAGGATTCAGAGTTGCCATTTGGTAAAGGATGCAGCCCGCTGCCCAGACATCAGCCTTCTCTCCATACGGCTCACTCTTGAGGACCTCAGGACTGAATTGGAATAAGGATGTGAATAGGTTCTAAGGAAAGTCAACAAAGACTCGTGCTGTAGTTGCATATAAAGGCAGGGGTGGGAGGAGACGCTTGCAATTCTTGATCCTATTCCAGGTAAACATATTTAAACTACCTTGGAAGTCTCCCAGCTAGGGGACTCATAATGACCCAGGTGACAGCGCAGGTCTGCCGCACAGGGTTTCCCACGCAGTCATCTGTATAGGAGCAGGCCCACAGGTCTTGCTCTTCCTATAAAGCCAGTCGGTGGGTCCGAACTTCCAGTTAGGCAATCACTTACATTCCAATTTAAACACGTAAACATCAGCTAAGTCCGTAGACGTTGTCCACTCTATTTCTAAAGCTTCATTACGAATCAGGTGGAGGTTTGCAGAGTGAATTGCCAGTCTCACATTCAACAAGTCATCCACATTTGCTTCATCTCATTCCTGCAAGCCCCTCAATACACTACGTCTACCCTGTGCTTCCCCCTTCCATTCCTCCTTCGCTAGCCCTCCGAACCCAGTTCTTGGATGACTACTTCCCTTTTGCTCTTAAGTGACTGTCTATTCTAAGGCAGTGGTTCTCCATCTTCCTAATGCCGTGACCCTTTCATACAGTTCCTCATGCTGTGGTGACCCCCCAACCATAACATTATTTTTGTGGCTACTTCATAACTGTCATTTTGCTACTGCTATGAATCAGGCAACCCCTGTGAAAGGACTATTCAACCCCCAAGGGGTCATGACCCACAGGTGGAGAACCTCTGTTCTAAGGTGTGAGTACCTTACTGAATGGTATTGTTCTCCTTATAGACTGATCTATTGTTTGGCTGGAAACTGAACCACAAAGGTGAGCTCATTCCAAACCTGAAGGATGGGTAAGGACTAGAGTCTTGGGGTTTCATTAACCTTTATCCAACAAAAAAAACCTGGTCCTGCCTAAGGGAATGGAGAAGCCATAGTGCACGGAATCAGAACCTCAGACCTAAGAGATATTGCGTGTTTCCATTGGCGCCCCCCTAGAAACTTCTGTCACTGTCACCGAAAGTTCATGCCCAGATAACTGCTACCCTTCCATTCTGGTTCTCGAATAAGACACAAGATTAGATATGTCCCAGACATGCTGTAGAGCTACAACCTAAAGGGAAGCCAGCCAAGCTGACCCACACACCAATAAATGTTTCAGTGACAGAAGAAACAGTTATTGTTGAATGTCATTGAGGGTTTGCGGTCATTTATTATATAGCATTATTATGGTCAAAAGTGAATGATATAGCCTCCACCTGTTTGGTACTAAACTCCAGTTTATAAATTGGTGTAATACAATGGTCAATTTAAATGTGTTGCTGAAATGCAACATCTACCAGGTCTACCTCTGATGAATTACATTTCCAAAGTCAACAAGGGTGCTGTCAATCTTTAAGGAAAATTAAGATGTGAGAAGTTATGGGTCATTCCTTTTATTTATTTTATTTGTGTGTAGGTAAATATAGTTCCCTTGTATATGTTGAACTAATTTTCTCTCTCTCTCATATTGGCAAAGCACAAGTAAGTAGAACTCATAAAGCATTCAGCAGAATTCTCAAAGCATTGAACGAACACACACATACAAAAACCAGGGATGCTTAGTGAATAGATAGGGTAAGTAGGCTATTTACATACCATGAATCATTACCGGAAAAAGGTTCTAATACATACTATAAAATGGATGAATCTTGAAAACAGAATGGTAAGTGAAATAATCCAAGCCCAAAAGGACAGATATTTTATCATACCACTTATATATCTATAATCGACAAATGCAATTGAGACAGGAAATAGGTTAATGGTTGCTATAGCCAGGGTTATAGCCTGTCATCATATTTCTTCCATCTACATGCTGTATAAATAATCAGAGAAGCTGGATTATATGAAGAAGACTTCGGCATCAGGATTAAAGAAAGCCTTATTACCAGCCTGTGTTACGCAGGTCATACAACCTTGTTTGCTGAAAGAGAGGACTTGAAGCACTTGCTAATGGAGATCAAGGATTGCAGCCTTCAGTATGGATTGCAACTCAATGTAGAGAAGAACAAAATCCTCACAACTGGACCAATAGACAAAATCATGATAAACAGGGACGAGATTGAAGTTGTCAAGGGTTTTGTCTTGCATGAACCCAGAAGCAATGGTCATAGAAACAGCAGTCAAGAGATCAAACAACAGATTGCATTGGGTAAATATGCTGCACAAGACTTCTTTAAAGTGTTGAAAAGCAAGAAGGTCACTTTGAGGATTATGGTGCACCTGACAAAAGCCATGTATTTTGCTAAGTTGGACATTGAGTGAGGAAGACTGAACAAGAATCAATGCATTTGAATTGTGGTGCTGGAGAAGAATGTTGAAAGTACCACAGACTCCAAAAAAAAAAAACAACCCAAAAAATCTATCTTTGAAGAAGTACAGACAGAATGCTCCTGAGAGGCAAATGTGGCAATAATTCATTTCACCTACTTTGGACATGTGAGGAGAGACCACTCCCTAGAGAAGGGCATCATGCATGGTACAGTAGAGGGGAAGTGAAAAAGAGGAAAGGCTGACAAGATGGACTGACACAGGGTGTGCACCCAGGGGCTCAAACACCTGTGACGAGGGTGCAAAACGGGCAGTATTGTGTTCTCTCACACCCAGGGTCGCTATGACTCAGACCCCATTCAAAAGCACCTCACAATAGCAATGCCTAGAGAGAAGGATGGACGGGGGATTTCTGTCTGAGGTGATAAAATGGTTTTTGAAGCAAACAGTGACGATGGCCGCAAAACACCGTGGATATAATAAATGCCAGAGAACTGTACATGTATTTTTAAGCTAACATTTTTTAAAAGTATTCTTTTTATTCTCAGAAATCCTATAAGCACTACCAGATGATGGCGCCCAGGCTCTCTTGGATGATGTGTAACCCTTCCACTACACTTGTCCACAGTCAGTACACATGTGAATGAAGTCGTGGACCACCTCTGACCACAATACGTACAAGAGTCCAGTTAACACTATGGTGAGCAGTCTCTGCTGGACCCAGATCAATTTGCTAGTGCACAGCATTATATCAAAAGGGGGAAAAGTTACTGTCTTAAACAAAATTTTGAAGTGGCTTGTCACATAGCAAGAGTGAACTGATTTAATAGTTTCCACCAGATCCTCAAAGCAGTCCAAAGGCCCTTAAAAAATTCAAAACCATTTCTCTTGGAGATAAGAAGAACACAAAGTAAAAATCAAAAGACAAAATACCAATTTATAAACTATCAAGGGCTCATGAGGGAGGGGGAAGCGGGGAGGGAGGGGGAAAATGAGGACCTAATATCGGGGGTTTAAGTGGGGAGAAAATGTTTTGAGAATGATGTACAAATGCGCTTTACACAATTGATGTGTATATGGATTGCGATAACAGTTGTATGAGCCCCTAATAAAATGTAAAAAAAAAAAAAGAACAATTGCTAACTGTCACAGAGCATCTAGAATCAAACTTCAAATATCCTATAGTTTAAAAAGATTTACAGCTAAAACTAGAAACAATGACTAATAACAACAAAACAAAAAAGCAGTCTAATTTCTGGAAGTCACAACAAAAGGCTCTCTACTAGGATGGTTTTTCTTTTAACCTGCAAGAAGTAGTGCCTCGTCTGTGGGAAGTCATTGAGTCACGACTTGAAAATATATCATGAGGTTTTATGTGATCATTGTTTTAAAAACTACTGAAAATTCATTAACTGTCATGCATTAATGTCCAATTTCTCCACTTACACATTTGGAAAAATTCAGCTATATTACTAGTTATAGTACTAAATATAGCTAGGAATGACTCATTTGAGAGAAGTTAAATTATACATACCATATTTACTTTTAAAAAAATAGATTCTCTATAAAGGAAAAAAGGTTATCCCTGTGTATGTAATCTGTTCATTTAACATCTCATTTGTGATAAAATAGAGCATAATTTAACATAAGCACTATCAAAGATCCAGGCAAAGCATATTAAGAGGGGGGAAGTTACTGTTTTAAACACCTACAATTTAGTGTATAAAAATTACATTCATTATAAGTTATAATTTTTAAAAAGCTTACTTTTAAAAGCATACCCAGGTAAGTAGATGGCAAAGAACAACATATTGTAAATAGTTTCATAAATAGTAAACATAATTCACCATCAGTCATCACTGCAAAGAGGCTGAACTAAACTTTACCTAAGAACTACCTCTGTCTTAGAAGGGATACATTATTGTTATTAGTAGTAGTAATAAATCGGGGGCTCTTACAGCTCTTATAACAATCCATAGATCCATTTTGTCAAGCACATTTGGACATATGTTGCCATCATCCTTTTCTAAACATTTACTTTCTATTTGAGCCCTTGGTATCAGCTCCTCTTTTTTCCCTGCCTCCCCCTTCCCACCCTCATGACTTCTTGATAAATTAAAAATTATTATTGCTGTCATATCTACACCAACCGCTGCCTCCCTTCCCCCACGTTTCTGTTGTTCATCCCCTTGGAGGTGGGGAGTGGGCTATGCATCGATCGTTGCAATTGGTTCCCCTTTCCTCCGTGCCCTCCCCTACCTTCCCTCCCCACCACCCCATCATCACCCACCTTCCCACTACCCTCCTGGTATCCCTGCTCCCATTTCTGTTCCAGAGGGGTTTGTCTGGAAAAGGATACATTATTAAACAGTCAGTGAAAATAAGTTGGGAGAAAAATGAGAGAGCAAGAATACTTATTCTAAATTTTTTAAGGCAAATGGTTTAGATTTTAAAGTTCCATTAATAGTTCCTTTTGCATAGATTAAACAATTAAGCTGCTAATTACAAATGAGTCTTACTTACTTGCTCAATAAGGAAAATAATCAAGTACTGGACTTAGGTATCTTTCAAAACATCCTAAAATGTGAATGATTCAGTAATTCTCAAATGATTCAATAATATAATAATTTATAAAACTTGGAGGAACTTCTTGAAATAGAACAA